TGTCGTCATAAGGGAAATAAATTCCAAAACTCCCATCACAGGGACTAGTGGGTCATGGTGAGCTGCAATGAAACAGGGCAGGTGGCCCCAGCAAGGCAAGCATGAGCCATGATGTCTGCATGGAATCACATGTTAAAAACGAGTGTTGAGCTCAGGCTCTGTGACACAGAGAATGATGTAACTTGTACTCGGGGTGTGGGGGGAGGTCTCAGAATTCAGAGGCCGCCTTTCCTGGAGGATGAAGAGAGGATGGGCCAAGCACAGTGTGATGAAACCACTGAAAAAATGGCAAATGGAAAAGTCCTCCTTAATCAAGAAAACCACAGAGGCTGCCACAGAGGGTAATTCTAGCATTTGCTTCTCCAGCCTCATTCCACAATGTGCATTTTTTTGGGTAAATAATTAGAATTAACATGATATTTAATATTTTTATTTGTTTTGTTTTGATTTGAAACAAAGCAACCATAAAATGCAGGTGGTGCAAATTAGAACACTGAAGTGAAGCTCTAAAACTTGCTTTTTTCCATCACTGGCCCGAGGCTGATATTGCAGGAATAAGTGACTAAGAACTTTTGAAGAGGTGGCCACCCGGGGATATAAAGTTTCAAATGGAATCATTTAAGCTGTAATGACATTTTAGATATGAGACAATAGAAATCAAAGAATTTTTGGTCACCCATGAAATCACCTCTTCCAACTATAATCATTAAATCCTCCACCTGGCATGAGGGCGGCATTTGATGAGACATCTCAGGCAATGCTTGTGTGAATTAGCCCACTTTTGGGTCCATAGGCAAGCCAGGCATTTCCAGAATAAAAATCTCCAGTACCTCACTAACAGAAAACACAGCTTTCTCCATGAGCACACCAGATTATGGAACTCGACGTAATATTGACTGTAAGAATTTCATCTAGGCTGGGTGCGGTGGCTCATGCCTATAATCCCAGCACTTTGGGAGGCTGAGGCAGGTGGATCACGGGGTCAAGAGATCGAGACCATTCTGGTCAACAAGGTGAAACCCCGTCTCTACTACAAAATACAAAAATTAGCTGGGCATGGTGGTGCGCACCTGTAGTCCCAGCTACTCAGGAGGCTGAGGCAGGAGAATTGCTTGAATCCAGAAGGCGGAGGTTGCGGTGAGCCGAGATCATGCCATTGCACTCCAGTCTGGGTAACAACAGCGAAACTCTGTCTCAAAAAAAAAAAAAAAAAAAAGAATTTCATCTAAAGACTAAGCTTTGAGATTCAATTGTGTGTGTCCCTGAATATCTTAAATGAAAACACCACTCACGTTGTGAACTCCATGTGACAGAGCCACTATTTAAACTGCTGTGGATTATTGGAACAGCAACATGAACCCAGCATGTGCAATGTTAAAAAGTCTTCAGTCTTTGACAAAATTAAATATGCTTGCTGCCTAATAAAGAGTTAATGAAATTTGAATGCATTTTTATTTAATAACTCAGAAGATAAAACTTTCTATAAGCATCAGCCTCATAAATATATGTCCCATAGAAGAGTCTATAGAATTGTCTGGTTTTCGTTAGAGAGTTATTTAAAAACAACAATAGGGGCTGCTCTTGACTCTCAGCAGAGCAAGATGATCTTTAACTGAAAACAAGACAAAAATTCTCAAGTCAGGGATATTGTGATTTAAAACAGCGGTTTGTGTGATTGTTTGAGAGCACGCCTACCAGTCTCCGTTAACCTGTCCAGGCCGCCAGAGAAGCTCCCCTCTAGGCGGCTGTGCTGCTTCCCGGCTGCGGGAAGCTTACCGGCCATGTCCCCAGGGCTCGCTCCCACTGCCACGCACGGATTCTGCAGGCCAAGAGGCACAGCCCATGACGAAGGGTATGTCAGGAACACACGCGTGAACACACACTGGATCGGTGAGAAGACCTGAAGGGTTCGGGACCTGATGTATATAAAATGCAGGCTGCCGCCTGGCTGGGTCCTTCTTCTGACTGGTCTGCGTGTACTGAAGCCAGTGTTTGCCGCACAGCCTCTCAGCCACAGCGCCTGTGGTCAGGTGCAGGTGCTTACTCCATCTCCCCAGAGAGCTCCATCTCCCGCCCCTTCACCCATAGGCCCGCAAAACCACTGCCCTGCTCCCCAGCACGGTAGCGCTGCCTTCCCCTAGATGTGTGGTGAGATCCTTCGCCTGTGCCCACTGAAACTGGCTTCCTTCCCTGGGCGAGTGTCCTGGGAGAGCTGCTGCATTCTGGGCCATCTTTCCTCAATGGCTGGAGCCTCCTGTGTAGAAGCGTCACGTATACCTACAGTATAGTTAAACAATAGATAATTATTGAGATGCAGCTGCAGGAGTGTGGGAATGGACACTTTGTTCTTGTCCAGTTATTGGTAATGAAGAATAGGCCTAAATTACATGCGCGCATTTAAGTTTACTCTTGGAGGGAATTCCAGGAGTGGGGTTGCTGGATGACGTGATAAGGATGTGGTTAACTTAATAAGAAATCCCGGAACACTTTCCAGCATGGCGGGACCCCTCCTGTTCCCACTGCAGCTTAGGAGGGTCCCAGTTCTTCTGTGTCATCACTAGAACTTGGGTTGGCCATTGGTTTCTGTCTGTTTTTAGCCATTCTAATGGATTTGCAGAGGGACTGCTGATTAGCATTTCTCCAACATCTCTATGATGCTGAGTGTCTGTCCTGGGCAATCTGCCCTCCTGATGCCTTCTTTGATGAGGTCTCCATTCAAATATTCACCCTCTCTTTTATACTGGGGTTTTCACTTGTAGGCCAAAATAATAAAGAGCAGGTCTACACCATATCTACTTAAGAGTTGATCTGCTTCTGTTTAATAAGTTAGCCTTAGTTTAAGATTTATAGTTTATAGCACTTTGTACACTGTATTAGCTAAACAAAGAGTGCAGCTTGTACTTTGTAAAACAACGCTGGGTTGGTGAGAAACTTGTAAAGTGCTGATCATAGCCCTAGAATGTTTGGGCATTGAAGACAGGAACACCTGGTCCATTGCTCAACCTCCTGCTGCTTGAATCCCTCAGTAAGGGTCTTGTGGCCTGGAGGAGGGGGCCTGCTCACAGGTTTTCAAAGGGTCTCTGTCTCCCGCCTAGAGGAGGGGACCTGCCCACAGGCTTGTAAGGGGTCTTGCGGGAGGCCTCTGGGCTGGTTGACATGAGAGTGGCATTCTCTGGTCTCCCTCCTGTTCCATGGGTAACTGGGCTAAGGAGATAGTCTCTCCTTTGAGGTATGTCTTGTGGTCAGCCTTGCTGGCTCTTACCCATTCCCACACTCCTGCAGCTGCACCTCAATAATGATCTATTGTTTAACTATACAATGTTTAGTTTTTTTAGAATAACCACATACCCACTACTAAACGTAGATGATGCAAACTGTTCCATTGTGTGTACTTACTCATGACCACCCTACCTTGAGTGATATGATCAAACTATGTGTGTGTTGCAAGAAATATGTGTGGATCCTAGAACTCTGGGTCTTCATGGTCCTCATCTTGTGAAGAACCCCTGGGCCCATGCTCATGATTTTTATTTCTGTGTCTGTGTCTTTTTTTCCTTAATTCCCTCATTGCTGCTGGGACTTAGAACACCCACGGGTTGTGCTGTGGCTGGTTCGCAACATCACTTTCTGTAAACACTGGGGTTTTTATGTTGGGGTTTTTACTTCCATATAGTTAAGTTTTGATGGTTCTTCGTATATTCTGTGTGCCAGTACTTTGTGAGATGTGCGATCCAGAAATATGTTTTTCTAGACCGTAGTTTGTGTTTTCATTCTCTTTAAGTTTTTATATTGTTTTATAGAGTTGCAATTTTAAATTTACTACTAAATTTAATTTGTAAATATTTTCTTTTATGAATCATGCTTTTGGTGTCAGGTCTAAAAACTCTTCACCTAACCCGAGGCCATGCAAATTTTCCCCTCTGTTTTTATCTAAAGGTTTTATAGTGTTAAGTTCTACATTTAGGCCTATGACAAATGTTGAGTAACATTTTATGTCAGCCGTGGCTATATCTTCTTTCATCTCGGACCGTATCGTGGGCATTTGCTACTCCCTGCGCCCTGTGTTCTTCCCGTCTTCTTGGTCCACTCTTCCTGTGAGTTTCAGGGAATGTCTTAGTACTGGCACTGTCCTGGTTCATTGGGTTGGGGGGAGGGCGGCAGGGCTTGCAGGCTGCTGTGAGGAGCTGGCTCCCTCTCTAAGTCAGGGGGGATTAGCAGAGGATTTAACCAGAGGAACCATGGGGTCCTGTGGGCTTGTCCACGTGGGAAAGTCGGGACTGTGATGTTGACCAGATGCTCTGTGAGTCGGGGAGGTGCTGATGGGGGTTTCCATGTAGCAGAGAGAGGTGTTTGGTTTTCTGGATGGGGCAGACTTGGGAGGGAACGAATTTGAGAAATGCCACCCATGAGAGGCCCAGGCAGAGCAGGTCTTGGGCTGCCCCACTATTAGCACCAAATGTGGATGTGTCAGTGGCCACGCCAGGAGAGAAGCCATCAACCATGGGTTTCTGGGTGGCCAAGGCCAAGTCTTGTTCAAGAGGTGTGTTCAGCTGAGCCAACCATGGCAGAAATACAAACGGGTGATCCTGTGGTTCCTCGGGTTAAATCCCCTGCTAATCCCACCTGACTCAGAGAGGGAGCCAAGTCCTAACAGCAGCCTCCAAGCCCTGCCTGACTCACACCCTCTCAGCTCTGATTCTCTGTGCCTGTCTACCCCTCACTGTCTCCTCTCCCACCAGAGAGGAGATCCTGAACGTTCATCCCAGTGGATTCAAACCCACCTTTGCCACACAGATAGTCTATAAAGAGTCCTTTTGAAAAAGAAAAAGGCAGGCTGTCATGGTGGCTCATGCCTGTAATCTCAGCCCTTTGGGAGGCTGAGGGAGGTGGATCACCTGAAGTCAAGAATTTGAGACCAGCCTGGCCAATACGGTGAAAACCTGTCTCTGGTAAACATACAAAAATTAACCGGCCATTGTGGCACATGCCTGTAATTCCAGGTACTCAGGAGGCTGAGGCAGGAGAATTGCTTAAACCCAGAAAGCAGAGGTTGCAGTTAGCTGAGATTGTGTCACTGCACTCCGACCTGGGCAACAGAGCAAGACTCCATTCAAGGGGAGAAAGAAGAAAGATGGCGGTTTAAGAGCAGCTCAGGATTGCAGCTCCCAGTGAAAGTGCAGAGGGTGAGTGGATGCCGCATTTCCAGATGGATCTTTATTGCCCACACACTAGGAGATTCCCAGGTTGGAGGAGCCCCACGGGTTGCCAGCGTGGCTATTTTGGCTGGTGCAGCTATTTTGCCGGTGTCCTGGCACGGCAGTTATCCATACAAAATACACTGGTCTGGTTGCCCTTTTAAGCTGGCGATTGGAGCTCTGGGAAGGCAGAGTTGCCCATTCATATGATTAAACAGCGGACAGAAACAGGGAGCCAGGCCAGGAGATTCCCAGGCAGTGCCATTGTTTCAGCTGGCGCAGTGGGTCGCCACACTGGAAATCACACAGATCCCAGCGCCTTTTCAGCAGGTGACTGGAACACCTGGGAGAGAGTCAACCATTCAATTAAAAAAAAAAAAAGGCTCTGAGGCAGGGATCCAGGTGATCAGGCTCAGTGGGTCCCACCCCCCCACAAAAAAACAAAAAAAAAACCCCAAAAACCCCCACAGCAATTGGAAACCCTGGGTTGAGAGTTTCACGGCAAGCACAGCTGAACCTGGGATGATTCAGCTCTGTGGGGGAGGGGCGCCCACCATTACCGAGGCACTCCACCCCTACAGAGGTAGTCCGCCATTGCTGAGGCAGCCCGCTGTTGCCAAGGCAACCTGCCACTACAGAGAGAGTCTGCCATTACAGAGGTGGGCCACCCATATAAGCAGGACTGCAGGGAAGTTCACACGGCAGTAGGGTGGAGCCCACAGCAGCTCAGCAAAGCCTCTGCAGGCAGACAGTGACTAGGCTGCCTCCTTGCTGGGCAGGGCAGCCCAGAAAAAAAGGCAGCAGCACAATGGAAACTCATAAATAAAGCCCTAACTCCCCAGGACAGAGCACCTGGGGGAATAAAAGGGGGTTTACGAGTTCTGCTGCAGCAGACTTAAATATACCTGCCCAGCAGCTCTGAACAACAGAGCTCACAGCTCAGCACTTGAGCTCCCATAAAGGACAGACTGTCTCCTCAAGCAGCTCCCTCAAGCAGACTGACCCCCATATATCCAAAGAGTCACCTCACAAAGGACTGATCAGACTGACATTTGGCAGGCATCATTCTGGGACAATGATAGCAGAAGAAGAAACTGGTAGCAACCCTTACTGTTCTGCAGCTGCTGCAAGCAGAGCCTGGAGTGGACCTCAGCAGTCCTACAGCAGGGTGCCAGACTGTTAGAAGGAAGAATAAGAAACAGAAATAACTTCATCATCAACTAGACATCCACTCAGAGACACAATCTGAAAATCAGCAACTACAAAAACGACAGGTGGATAAATCCACAAAGATGGGAAGAAACCAGCGCAAAAAGGAGGAAAATACCCGAAACCAGAACACCCCTCTTCCTACAAGGGATCGCAACTCCTCACCAGCAAGGGAACAAGGCTGGATGGAGAATGAGTGTGACGAAATGACAGAATGAGAATTCAGAAGGTAGGTAATGAGAAACTTCTGTGAGTTGAAAGAACATGTTCTAACCCAATGCAAAGAAACTATGAACCTTGAAAAAGATTTGACGAAATGCTAATGAGAATGGACAACTTAGAGAGTAATATAAGTGAATTGATGGAGCTGAAAAACACAACATGAGAACTTCACAAAGCATGCACAAGTTTCAACAGCTGAATTGACCAAGCAGAAGAAAGGATATCAGAGATAGCGATCAACTCAACGAAATAAAATGAGAAGGCAAGATTAGAGAAAAAAGCATAAAAAGGAATGAACAAAGTTTCCAAGAAATATGGGACTATGTGAAAAGACCTAATCTATGTTTGATAGGCATACCTGAATGTGATGAAGAGAATGAATCCAAGCTGGAAAATACTCTTCAGGATATCATCCAGGAAAACTTCCCCAACCTAGCAAGGCAGGCCAATATTCAAGTCCAGGAAATACAGAGAACACCGCAAAGATATTCCTCGAGAAGAGCAACCCCAAGGCACATAATCGTCAGAATCACCAGGGTTGAAATGAAGGAGAAAATGCTAAGGGCAGCCAGAGAGAAAGGTCGGGTTACCTACAAAGGGAAGCCCATCAGACTCACAGCAAATCTCTCAGCAGAAACCCTACAAGACAGAAGAGAGTGGGGGCTGATATTCAACATCCTTAAAGAAAAGAACTTTCAACCCAGAATTTCATATCCAGCCAAACTAAGCTTCATAAGTGAAGGAAAAATAAAATCCTTTGCGAACAAGCAAGTACTCAGAGATTTTGTCACCACCAGGCCTGCTTTACAAGAGCTCCTGAAAGAGGCACTATACATAGAAAGGAACAACCAGTAACAACCACTCCTAAAACATACCAAAAGGTAAAAAGCACCAACAAAATGAAGAAGCTGCATCAAGTAATGGGCAAAACAGCCAGCTAGCATCAAAATGGCAGTATCAAATTCACACAGAGCAAGACTCCATTCAAAAACATAAAATAATAAAAGAAAAAGGCAAAAATTTAAACAAATAAACAGAAATGTGGTGAAAGAGTTGAACCAGCCCTTCGCAGAAGAAAAAAATATGGAGGAATGGCCGATAAAAACATGAAAAGGGTCTTAGCCTAACAGGGTGAGGTATCAGGTGACACCCATCAGACTGGCAAAAATCCCACAGGCAGTGTGAGTGCTGGGGAGAATGGAGAGCCACAGGAATGCTCAGCCATCACTAAGAATAATTGTGAATTTTTTTTTGCTATGCTTGCTTATGAAAGGGTGTGTGTTGTGGGTTATGAGGAAAATTACATTTCTTACTGGGATGAAAGTTTAAAACTGAAAGCTACTGACCAGGAGAAACTGCACTTGTGTACAAAAGAAATGCCCAAGAACCTTCATAGCAACACGGTCCTAGGGGCCCCACCTGGCCAAACACTCAACAGGAAAATGAAGACATTTTTCACGGTCCCCTCACGCCACGGGAGATCACATAGCAATGAAAATGAATTGGGTCAGTGTGGATAGTTCTCAGGAAGAGAATGGAGGACAAAAATAGACATGGAGCAAATGCTCAGAGCCAATGCAGCAGAGGAGCAGCCACACAGGAGATTTTCTTCACATCGAAGTTCAAAACTGCAGCCAAGGCAACAGAGCAAGACCCTGTCTCAAAAAGACAACAGAGTGTTCAAAAATCACATGCAGTATTGTTTAGGGATGCACATGTAAGTGGGGAAAGAAACGCACCATGAAGAAAAGTACAGGAATGATAAAGACTAAAGCAGAAAGTGACACCCTCTGAAGGAGAGGGAAGGGACTGGGATTCAGCAGGGGCCTCCAGGGAGCATCCAAAGTTTGGTTTCTTCAGATTCTATTCCCTAAATTTGGTGGAGGTCCCATGTGTCCAATGTGTGAATATTCCTGATACCTGAGGCTGCCCAGCTGGGGATCTGGGCAGGAGTGGTTCACTTTGTAGATTGAGGCTTGCACAGCTGCTAACCCTGGCAGGAGCGGTTCTTACTTTAGGTGAGGGCCGCACAACTGGGGACCTGGGCAGGAGCAGTTCTTTAGTTTGAGGGCCACGCAGCTGTGGACCTGTGCAATAGTCGTTCTTACTTTAAGTTGAGGGCCGCACAGCTGGGGACTTTGGCAGGAGCAGTTCTTTTTGTAGTTTGAGGGCCGTGCAGCTGTTGACTGTGCAGGAGAGATTCTTACTTTAGGTTGAGGGCCACACAGTTGCAGACCCAGGCGGGAGCAATTCTTTTTGTAATTTGATGGACATGTAGCTGCAGACCTGGGCAGGAGCAGTTCTTTAGTTTCAGGGCCACACAGCTGGTGCTTGGGCAGGAGCAGTTGTCCTTGTAGTTTGAGGCACACACAGATGCAAACCCTGGCAGGAGCTGTTCTTACTTTAGGTTGAGGGCTGTGCAGCTGCGGACGTGGGCAGGAGCGGTTCTCACTTTAGTTTCAGGGTTGGACAGCTCGGGAAGTGGGCGGGAGCAGTTGTTACTTTTTGTTTGAGGGCTGAGCAGCTGCGGACCTGGGCAGGAGTAGTTCTTACTTTAGTTTGCAAGCTGCACAGCTGGGGACCTGGGCAGGAGCAGTTCTTATTTTAGTTTGAGTCAGAGATCCTGGAGAATCCAGTGCTGCTGTTGTAGAGTGAGGGTCAGTTAGCTGGAATCCTGGGGAGGGGTCAGTGATTCTGTTATGTCTGAGGTTCTTGGAGCTAAACATGAAGCCAAAGTTGGGGAAGGGGGTGGGGGGAGAGAGAGAGGGGGGGAGGCGGAGAGAGAGCGGGGGAGAGAGGAGAGACTCACAGTAGGGCACCTGAAACTGTAAATGTAACTGTACCCCAAGCAAGCTAAGCCTGGAAGTGTCTCAGTCCTCGGTATCAATGCTTTTTGTTTCCTCCTACACAGTTTTGATTTGTTTTCTGTCCCACAAGACAGAAAGACCCTGATCAATACCCTCAGGAATTGAAAAGCTTAAAAAAAAACTAAATGATCTTGGCAATAATAATAATAGAAATTAAACCATGATTATCCTGACAGAGACAAAATCACATACACGCACTATATATATATATAGAAAAATAGGTCCAAGTAAAGCTCTGTGAAGTTGTTTCATGGAGAAGGGGTGAAGGACAGAGGTGAATCTGATAGTTGCTACTAATGGACAAACTGAGAACTTACCATTTTTCCCACGTGGTTTCAGTGCACAATCATCTTCCGTGAGATCTGGCAGCTGGGTCACTTTGCACAGCCTGGGGATGCAGTAGGTGTCACAGAAGGACCCTGTCCCAGCTGGTCCTGCCCCTCTGCTGTGATGAGGGCAGCCTCTGATCTCTGACAACTGACTGTGTTTTGATGGGAGGCCAGGCCTGTGAGCACAAGAGTTTCCATGGTGAGGTTCTGTGGTGGAATATGTTGGATGTGCTTGATGTTCCTTCCTGATGCTTATCTGCCATCTTGCTCTTTAACACATCTAGTTTATAACTGTCTTCTCAATACTGTGTAGAAAGAAAGCACTTATATAATGGCCCTCAACCTAAAGAAAGAATCTCTC